ATGAATTTTTGTGGTTGCTTGAAATTTGTAGAAGAATTTTTAAGCGACAAACTGAGTGGAAATGGAGTTGTTTTTTGTGTATACAATAGTTTTGTTTGTCATACTAAACAACAATGAATAGAAAGAACATGATTTTTTTAAAAAGTATATTGCTTTTTTTTTTCATCGGTTGTGGTTGTCGTATCATTTGATTTCACATGTATGTGTTGAGAACAAATACCAAGCTATCCGCATGTTTGAGCCTTTCTCTGATACCTTCTTGAAACAATAAAACATTTATTTCTAATACTCTGATGGTTAGATTTACTTACAGCAATGATTTTTCACTTAAGTGTTTTGAAAGCAGAGATGTGTAAGATCAATATTCAATCAAGAACGTCTCTCGTAATATAAATGTATGAACGACTTTTGTACGTGTTCGACCATTTATCACACGTTATTACGAAACATTTCGGTGTTGATCTTATTTCTCGTTAGATTTTTTCCACGCAAATATTAAAAATCTTATTTTGAATCGATTGCAGATAAACCAGTTCTCTAGGATATTTCATGTTTCGCGCGGACGATCTTGTTGGTAATTCAGATACCTACGAATCCTTAACAGAAGCAGAAATAAAAAGATACCGTGATGTATATTTTCCTTTTTACCTTCGTTTGTAATTATTGAAAATAGCAACTGGTCTGTGCAACAGATAATCGTCACTTGATGGCGCAGTCACGCGTTAGGTTTTGCAGAATTCATTATATTCAGGTCTCCAAAAAAACATCCACATAACATGTTGGTTTGATCTTTTGATTTCTGTGGTGTCTGTCACTTCGTGCACTGCTGAGAAATGTTTTTCCAACGTTCAGTGCCAGTTACAGCGCCATAAGAGCCCATTCTTTTGTGAACAGATATAACTTACATAACAAGTAATCGTTGGAAATTAAAAAAAAACATCACACATAAAATACAGTGACCTACTGATCATCATCAAGAATATCGATGCTTTTTTCACCTCTATCGATAGATTGTGCTTCACTGATCACAAGAAAAAAATACGATTACAACACTGCATAGTCGTTAGAAATTACAAAGAACATCGCACATAAAAAATGATGACCTACGCATCACCAACTACAAAATGCATGCGTTTTTTTACCTGTATCGATAGATTTTTTCCCTTGTGGGAATGAAACAAACAAAAAAATACGCTTAAAACAATGAGTAATCGGTGGAAATCAGAATAAACATCACACATAAAACATGGTGAGCTACGGACCACCATCAATAATATGGACGCTTTGCATTACCTGTATCGATAGATTCTTTTTCCCTCGTAGAAATGAAAGAAACGAAAAAAACATACGATCAAAAGAATGAGTACTCGGTGGGAATCAGAAAAAACATCACACACAAAATATGGTGACGCACGGATATCCAGGAACAATATCGATGCTCTTTTTACCTGTATCGATCGATTCTTTTTCATATTCGAAATGAAAGAAACGAAAAAAAATATGAATAAAAGAATGAGTACTCGGTGGGAATCAGAAAAAACATCACACACAAAATATGGTGACGTACGGACATCCAGGAACAATATCGATGCTCTTTTTAACTGTATCGATAGATTCTTTTTCCCTGGTCAAAATGAAACAAACACAAGAAAATACGACTAAATCAATGAGTAATCGATGGAAATTAGATAAAAAATGATATTCACGTAATTATGGCTCAAGGCTTACCTTCAAAACTATGAACATTGTTCATTTTTTTCGAAAGATTCCGTTGATCTTTTTGCAGAATAGAATCGATGAAAAACAAAAGAATAATGTTTAATCTAGAGTATCGAATAGCGACGTGTCCAGGGTAATAATATGGCCTACTGCTTACCTATGGTAAAGCGAATGATCTAGGATTGCGTGAATAGTTGTCTTTCTGTTGAAAGATGCTTAAATGCTAGATATGATAAAAACATTCGTGTAATCAATGAAAGTGGAAAAAAATTGCTCAAGAGTAGCAAGATCAGAAAGTATAAGACTCACCCAAAGTTATAAGAAGATTGTTCATTTCGCTGGATAAGTTTTGCTCATCTGTTGAGAGCGTACAAAGCATTGATATCATGAATATAATGCGTAATCTGAATAAGTGAAGGAAAACGCCTTAGACATTGTGATGTGGCCTACTCGTTATCTGCCTATATACGAATGTTTTTGATATGTGAATAGATTGTTGTTTGTTCTGTGTGAAGAAGAAAAAGAAAAGAAAAGTACGATTAAAACAATGCACAGTGTATGAGACGTGGGAAAAAAACCGTCTTAGGCGATAAGATGGCTCACAGGTAAGAAGCTGTATGCGTGTGCTTACTTTGTGCTGGAGTTATTTTGTATACCTGAGCGACGAAGAGAAAAGAGAAAAAATGATAATGGTAATGCACGGTGAGAAAAAGTGGTGTCCTTAGGCCTCTCAAGCGATTGGTTCTCGGCCTGTAGTATGTGGGGTTTTTTCTTGCAGGATGGGGCGATCAGATGACTTATGTTAAGCTGCATACTAGGGACTGAGAGAGAGAAGAGAGAGAGAAATCGTTGTATAGAAAAAAAATAAATATGGGTAAAATACATATATTTTTTCTCGCGTCACGGTCTGATGAACGAAGTAATGTATGATACGAAAGTGGTATATAAGCTGGATTTTTCTACAGTATTAGCACACAACATCGTTAAAACATTTACTTGGTATCTCATCTGCTCCATTGCAACCAGCTCAATCTCCTGAAAGAAAAGGTATGTGATTCTCAATATTTTCCTTTTTAGCAATACACCAGTTATAGAAGAGTCCGAATATAAGATGATCAGTTGTGAGTTAGTAAAGGGACAGTCAGATAAGAATTTAAGGTGAGTACATAGTGATGCTGTGATTCTTACTAAAAAAGAGCTAGGTTAACAGAGGTTTTCTATCAATGCACTACTGTATTTAACGTTCGTAGTACACTGATGCCAAAGTCGAGTCATAGAACGAAAAGTGTTCAAAACATGATGATGAAAACATATGCATAAAGAAGATACGAGAGATCTCCCAGTAGAAATGAGTGATAATCAGACAGTTTGCTTGAAATGATAGATGTCTGAAAACTTGATCGCAATTGTTCTTCCGTCATCCAGTCCTTTTTCCAACCTCGTTGCTTCCACAGCACACTGTTTTTTTGAAGTTGACTACCGTGATGCGTGTATTTTGACTTTTTTTTAGGTGAAACAGCTGTTTTCAGGTAGTACCTTGACAAAATGAAGCTGCTGTATTTGAGAGTGAAACCTGCTAGCCGGTAGCTTGTTTGTAAAGGGAGTGATAAAGGCATCCATGGGACTATTGTTTCCAGTTTTTGAGTTGTAGAGCATCCCGACGAAAGACACATTATGTCCTATTGACTGCTCAATAATGGTTCCTCATCAGAGCATCTATGTCTTTCATCTATTAAACCTAGACGATTCTGCGACGAGTTTTTACAAGAGTTAATCGATGCTTGTATTCTTGTGGAGAAATAAATGCGGAAATTTCGGATTTATATCCGAGATTATGTGTACTTCAAAAAGTGAATGAGACAAATCGGACATCTTAAAATGTCTCAATATAAAAATTTACCTGGAAAACCTTTTCCATAAACCCTTCAATTCCATTGGTTACTGCTCAACGAATAGGACTGGGGAGCGTAGAAATCTCACATTTTAACTGCTCAACTTAACTTACCTTCAGAAAAATCGATTTTCCTATAACTTGATTTCTATTGGTCAATAATCAACCGATGGGTTTTCGAGGCAAGTGAAGTACAGATTCGAGTTTTCCATATTAGAAAGCCTTCGATTATCATCTCGATCACAGGGAGACAGACTTCCGATTGGGGATCGATTGGAGCGTGCACAAAAACCGAACCGATTCCCACTTTTTTACCTTTAAATACGTAATTTAGTCTTCTTATTTCTTAATGTTTTATACATCGTTTTGTAGCTCTTGAAATTCTCTATCGAATGGTATATAATAGTTGGGGTTTTAATTGACTATGATAGGAAAAGTCTTTTAAGAAAGTGGCGATGGGTCAATTTTCCCATAGAAAGCCATCAGAAAAAATTGGTATTTTCGCAATAACTCAGGAACGGCTCGACCAACCCTTCTCATCTTTGAACTTGACCGAGATATTGTCAAGACTAAGCTGTGTAGAAAGTTTCATCGCAATCTGACTCTCCTTTGGAAATTTATCATGTAGACAGCCGACCGGATGGACAGACACACTGACTATTCTATAGTTTACTTACTTTTGAGTACACAAAAACTATGATTCGGTTCAAAACTAATATCAGATTCAGAATCAGCGTTAAAAATTGAATCGATTTATGTATTTTATGAAGAATTATGAACAAAAATTTTTTTTTCGAAAAATCCCCGTACCCCCTCCCCTCCACCACAGGAATGGTCTGGTCAAAAATCAGAATTTTTTTGATAACTCAGCCATTTCTCGATGGATCCTTCTCATCTTCGAACTCGACCGAGATATTCGAAAGACTGAACTGTGTAGAAAATTTCAACGTGATCTGACTCTCCTTTCGAGAGTTATCGAATAAACGGACGGACACACTGACCGATTTTAGTAGTGTACTCACTTTTTGAGTACACAAAAATTAACCTATACTGATTTTCTTGAGTTTTTAGTCAATATTTAATCGAATACTCAAAAATTTCTCATCCCAACGTGACATTTCGAAAATCTTATTTTTATCTAATGTAAAAATAGATCTTATTCACATTGACACTATCGACATGTGAAACTTAATTAATCCACATTTTCTTCGTTGAATATCTCAGATGAGTCAATACATACTTATGTTCATGGTGAATAGAAAAAATTATTGAGGCATAGAAGTTACTAACCGTGACGATGTGAATCGACGTCATATTTATTATTCGAATAAAACATCGCATTCAAATCAATCACAAAATCTATCATCTTTTATAGAAAGGCTTAACGGCAATGTCTGACTCTGGTAACTATGAATCTAGCTATGGATACGACTACAATAATTCTTCGGATACTGGTATGATGCCTGGAATGATGTATCCTGGTGGTTCTGCTCGTTTTAATGAAAACACTGGACAATACGGACCTTCCCCAATGGATGACTCTTCTAGTGGTATGATGCCTGGAATGGTGTATACTGGTGGTTCTGCTCGTTTCGATGAAAACACGGGAACGTACAGATGGTGATATTTGGTATCTCAATGGATGATATAAATTCGTCTGAAAACTTCTCTAATTTTCATTGTCTTTTCTTTCATCGCGCATTATTTATTCCGAAATAAACTGCTATCTGAAACAAAAATATTAATACAGGGGTTCCCAAAATGATAAGACCCCCCCCCCCCCTCTACAAATTTGAGAATAATAAGGCTTTCACAACTAAGGAATCTAATGTCATATATATAGACACTGCTAAAGCATCTATCATGTACTATATTGATATCTATTTTGTTAAATATTAATAATATTTTCATTCAAGAAATTTTGAATTCCACTTTTTGCATAATTATAAAACCCTCTCCTCTGGAGTATAAAAGTATTCCCTTGATGTTCATTTTTTTCAAGTCAAAAAAAATCTTTTAGTATCTATTCGAAAGAGGAGATCATTAGTTATCTACTGAAAAAAATATAGAATTATAGGGTGTGGGTGTGGGTGTGGGTGTGGGTGTGGGTGTGGGTGTGGGTGTGGGGGTGTGGGTGGGTGTGT